GGGGGGGGGGGGGGGGGAGATTCTAGAACCTTCTGATGGGTCGGTGTGTTTTGCTTTCAGATAATTGGTTAAGTGCAGGCAGCCACATCTTTGACTTCCGTTTCAACTTACCTCCCAGGCTCCCTTCGACCTTCAGCAGCAAAGTCGGCCACGTCTCTTACCACGTGCAAGCCTCCTGCATGGGCCGGGAGCACGTCTTAGGGAGGAAGAGGGCACACCTGCTGGTCCAAGGGACTTCGGACTTCCACAGAGAACACTCGCTCCAGGTAACGCGGGAAAGGAAGGAGGGGCGGGGCGGGGAAGGCGCCTCCCCAGGCCCGGTGACCTCACCAAAGCTGAGCCAGAGGCCAACATGGCAGGGGAGTGGTGAAGGCGCAGGACTCCCACGTGGCTGACCGCAGTTCAACTCCCACACCTGGTGGCTTGCTTTCTAACCTTCCCACACTCTCGCTCTCTCTGGTCGACTCAATAATAATAATTAATTTAATAACGTTACATAAATAATCTGGGTGTTTTTAGAGAGAGATTTTTGCTATAGGGCACGTGCGCTAGCCAGAGAGAAAGAAAGCATCCCCCTCCCCAGGATGGATGGCCACGCCACGGTCCCTTTTCCTCCATTCTCATCTTGGGATTTGGGGTGCACATCCACACCCACCTGGCATTGGGGGCTTTTGTTTTGTTTTGTTTTAACTTAAAATAATTATTTATGTATTCATTCATTTATTTTTAATTTGACCAGAGAGAGAGAGAGAGAGAGAAAGTGAGAAAGCCAGCCGCCAGGTCTGGAACTTGAACCATGGTTGGCCATGTGGGAGTGTCCAGCACCTTAGCCATCATGCCACCTGCTGGTCCCTGTCCTGACATTGAGTTTTCTTTTCTTTTATTAAAGAATTATTTATTTAATTTTATTTAACCAGAGAGGGACAGAGAACAAGAAAGGGAGAGAGGAGAAAGTGAGAAAGCAAGCTGCCAGGTCCAGGACTCAGCTGTGGTCAGCCACGTGGGGCGCAGCGCCCCTAACCACACACCACCTGCCGGCCCCAAATAAGTAATTGTTAAAAAAAAAAAGTGAGTCGGGGGGCCAGCAGGTGACATAGTGATTAAAGCGCTGGACTGCCACATGGCCGACCGCGGTTCGAGTCCCAGACCTGATGGCTTGAAATGACATGGGCCACATGTGTGTGCGTGCCCAAGATCCCGGGAGGACAGTGAAGAAGGGCTTGTAGCATTGTTGACCTCCCTGGGGTCAAAGTGAGAGAGTGACTTCTCACTTTCCCTCTCCCCCTCTCTCTCTGTCTCTCTCTCTGGAGAGTGCACACGCCCCATGACAAAAACCTAAAAAAAAGGAAAGGGGAGTTGTCAGAATCCAAGGGGCGGGCAACAGCCATGGGTGTCATCGCTAAGGCGGCCGATCCCACCTGGCCACTGCGCAGTTCGAGTCCCAGCCCCTGAGCGTGAGGAACACCCTGGAACAGGTGCGTGCCCAAAATGCCCAAGGGAGGGAGAATGGAGGAGAGGGGTGGTGACAGGGCCATCCCCCTGGAAGTCGCTTTGCTTTCTCACTTTCCCTCGCTAGCGCATGCACCCTCCGGCAACATTTTAAAAAGAAAGGCGATTTTACCCCGCAGGGAGCCCTCGGCAATGTCTGGGGGCCACATCTGGCTGTCACAGCCATCCAGAGTAGGACCGGCACCGGTGTCTGGAGCCCGGGATGCTGTGACATCCTTCGGGGCAGACGGCGGCCTCCTATAGCCTCACCAGCCAACAGGGCCTGGCCTAAGAAACAGAGGAGAGGGTCAGCAGGTGACGTGGAGGTTAAGGTGCTGGATCCCACATCGCCGACTGCATAGTTCAAGTCCCAGTCCCGGCAGCTTGAAAATCATGCCAGGTGTGTGCGTGCGTGCCCAGGATCCCGAGAGGAGAATGGGGGAGGAGGCACTGCAGCGCGGCCATCCCCCCGCGGGGGATTCCTCCCTCTCCCTCTGTTTCTGATGAGTACACAGGCACAACAGCAACAAAAACGAAAGGGGGAGAGGGAACCAGCAGTTGGCGTAATGGCTATGTCTCTGGACTCCCACGTAGTTGACCGCGGTTCGTGTCCTGGACCCGGTGGCTTAAAACTCACGCCGGGCGCATGTCTGTGCGTGCCCAAGATCCCGAGAGGAGAACGGAGGAGAAGGGATTGTGGTGTGGCCATCCCCCCCTGGGGGGTGATTTCTTGCTTTCTGTCTCTGTCTCTCTGGCGAGCGCACGCGCCCTATAGTGGAAAAAAAAAAAAACCTCTCCAGAAAAAAAAGAAAGAGGGAGAGAGAGAGAGAGAGAAGAAAAAAAAATAAAGGAAAACAGAGAGAAGGGTAGTTATGTCTCTCACCACTCCTGGCGGCGTCTGAGGGTATCTCTGAGGGCCAGGACTGAGGGTGCTCCTGGCACAGCATAGGCGGGGCCGGGGCGCCCAGCACCTGCAGGGCCCACAGAGAGCCATAGGGCACCAGCATCCATGTGTCTGGGGGAGGCCCTGTGGTAAGTCGAGGCCCCGCGCTGACGCCCTGGTGGACACCTGGTGGCTCCCCAGAGCCTGTGTGGACACGACCCCTAAGAAGTCGGGGGAGGGGGAGCGCCTCTGTCCCCAGAGAAGGGAGGCCCGAGCAACACGGGCCCCTTCCTGAGACCAGGTGCAGAGGCGGAAGTGAGCGGTTGGAACCACACAGGGCCGCTTTGCCTCACTTCCCTGGGGAGCCACTTGTCACTGGACAGCTGGGGCATGACAAATGTCAGAGGATCCACTTTTTTTTTAGTTTGTTTTTAGTTTTTTTTTGCCATTGGGCATGTGCACTCACCAGGGAGAGACGGAGTGAGGGAAAGTGACCCATCGCTCCCCGGGGCACGGCCACGCTGCAGCCCTTTCTCCTCCATTCTCCTGCCGGGATTTCGGGCACGCACGCGCACACGCCCTCCGTGAGTTCGAAGCCTCTGGGTCAGCGGTCAGCCATGCGAGTCCGGCCCCTTAACCACCACGCCACCTGCTGGTCTCAAGAGGGCCTGCATTTCAGTTTTCAAGGTCCAGGGTAAATTCTCAGTAGCCCAACCTGGGCCACAGTGGTGCCTGCCACTAAGGTGTCGCACTTCCCAAGGGAAGCCACAGCCCTCCTCCCCCTGCAGCCCTCCATGGCTCCCACCTTCTGGGATAAAACACAAGTCCTGCCCACAGCCCACAGGGCCCTGCCCACCCTGCCCACCCTCTCCCTCTCCCTCCCTGCCCTCTCTGCTCTCGCTCACTCCACCCCAGCCACCCAGGCCCCCAGCTGCTCCACCCACACACCAGGCACCGGCCCTGCCCCAGGGCCCCGGGACACTCTGGATGTTCCTTCAGAAGCTGCACCTTCACTGACCCACATTCCTGATGGACAGACTCCACAACCCCAGAGAAGACAGTTTGGCCAGACCTTGCAAAACTAAGATACATGTGTGCTTGGCCTGGCCAGCTTCCTTCCAGAAACGTCTCCTGCAGACGGTTTTTCAGACAAGACCTCTCGAAGCACTGCCGTAATGGCGGAAACTGCAAACCCCTAAATGTAGGTCAGTAGACAGGCTGTTACAGGACATGAGGGCCAGCGGGGGGCGCAGAGCTGAGAGTGCCGGGCCCCACACGGCGGACCGCGGTTTAAGGTCTGGACCCAGGACTTGAAACTCCCACCCGGCGCGTGTGCGTGCGTGCCCACGATCCCGAGAGGAGAATGGAGGAGAAGGGATTGCAGCGTGGCCATCCCCCCGGGGGGGTGATTTCTCGCTTTCTGTCTCTCTGTCTCTCTCTCTTTGTCTGGTGAGCAAACGCATCCTGTAACCAAAACCAAAACCAAACAAGAAACAAAAACAAAAACCAACATATATGTGTGTGTGTGTGTGTCTGTGTGTGTGTGTGTGTGTATATTATATATATATAGAGAGAGAGACAGAGAGACAGAGAGACAGAGAGAGAGAGGGGTACCCAACAAGCTGGCCCCACGGCCTAATGGCTAAAGGAGCCGGACCCTTCATGTGATCAACTGCAGATCGAATCCCGGCCCTAGCCTTCTGAAAAACTTCCAGGACACAATTGCGTGCCCCCAATCCCAGCAGGTGGAGACCTGGAGGACTTGAACACACCCCACAGGGGATACTTTCTCTTGGTCCCTCTCCCTCCCCCTCCATGTGGGAGTCTAGCACCTTCACCACTACACTTCTGCTGGCTTTAAATTTAGTGATTTAAAAAAATAATAATTATTTATTTAATTTTATTTATTCATCATTTATTTTAATTTGACCAGAGAGAGACAGAGAAAGAGAGGGGAAGGGAGAAAGCAAGCCACCAGGTCTAGGACTTGAACCGTGGTGAGCCTTAACCACCACACCAACCGCTGGTCCCAAATTTAGTGATTTTTTTTAAGAGAGAGGTTTTCGCTATAGGGCGCATGTGCTCCCAGCAAGACGGAGGGAGACAGAGAGACAGAGAGCGAGAAATCATCCCCAGGGGGATGGCCATGCCGCAATCCCTTCTCCTCCATTCTCCTCTCGAGATCTTGGGCATGTGCACACACATATACCCCACGTGAGTTTAAGCCACCGGGTCCGGGACTCGAACCGTGGGACTCCATGAGAGTCCAGTGACATACCCATGATGCCATCTGCTGGTCGTTAAATGCCATTCAAGTTAGTGATTTCACGTGTAGGATTCCGTAGGTTTTGTGTCACACTCCCACAACTATGACCACCTCCAATTTTAGAACATTTTCACCAAAAAACAATCTTGCCTTTGAGGCCAGCAGGTGGCGTGGAAGTTGGGGCAGCTGGATCCCACATGACTGACTCGGTGGTTCAAACCCTGGACCTGCCGGCTTGAAAGTCACACGGGGCATGTGTGCGTGTGTGCCCAAAACCCTGAGAGGAGAATGGAGGAGAGGGGACTGTGGCATTGCTGTGGGCCCAGCAAAGCTCACAGGTTTGACTCTTTATGTGACCAGTTGCCTTGGCCAACCTGAGTCTGTTTGGAAGCCAGAGGCTCACCCACATGGGAGGCTCCCGGGTTCAAGCCCAGAGACCTGCCTGTGCTCGTGGACTGAGGCTAGCTGAGGCTGGGGCAGGATGGCCGCTGTGAGACCCCTTGGGGTGCTGTCTCTGTACCTCTGTAATGGAAGCAACACATGAATACGCTGAGGGAAACAAACAAGCAAACCAGAAAACACCCTATCCCGTAAATGCAATGGTGAGTCTGCCCCCAGCATCCCTGAGAACCGGGGTGCTGTGGCTGCTGTGCCTGGCCTGCAGTGGGGTCTCTGCTGGGCTCCCATAGGCACCTCTGGGTTACATCCTTCAGGATCAGGACAGGGCCACTGGCTTTGTCTTGAGTTAGGCCAGTGGGTTCCTTCACCCCCACAGGGTCCTAATGGATGTTGCCAATTTCCGCTCTTTTTTTAATTTTTTTGGAGAGGTTTTTGCTATAAGGCGCGTGCGCTCGCCAGACAGACAGAGAGAGACAGAGAGATAGAAAGCGAGAAATCACCTCCCGGGGGTATGGCCAGGCCACAATCCCTTCTCCTCCATTCTCTTCTCGGGATCTTGGGCATGCACGCACACGTGCCCGGTGTGAGTTTAAGCCAGCGGGTCCGGGACGCGAATCCTGATCAACTACGTGGGAGTCCAGCGACATAGCCATTACGCTAACTGCTGGTCCCTCTGGTGTGTTTTTCAAGCTGCCAGGGCTGGGCTTCAAAGTATGGTTGGCCACCTCAGATCTGGCACCCTTAATCACGAGCTACATAGTAGGCCCCGATTTTTCCCCCTAAATCATTTTTAAAAATTTTACCTATTGTTATTATTTTTATTAACTTGACCAGAGAAAGACAGGGAAAGTGAGAAAGCAAGCCGCCAGGTCCAGGACTCAAACCACAGTTGGCCATGTGGGAGTCCAGCGCTTTAACTGCCACATCACCCGT